TTTTTTCATTGATTGTACTTAATTGTATTTCTGTATTTCCTTCATATATCTGTACTTGAGCTGAGGTGACGCAAAAATTTCCCCGTTGTGGGATCAATAAAGTCTTATCTTAATAACAAAAAAATATAAAACACCAATAGCATGTAAGAGTCCTGACCATACCACTGTCCTGAGTGTGTTTCCTCCTTATTGGCTCTTAAAACGTTTTTCCTTCTTCCGCTGAAGTTCAATACTCTTTTCTGACAAAGTTGGATTTTTACTCAGTTGTATATAGAATTTGTATTCTATTTTTATCCTATTGTATATTTTATTCCATTTTATTCTACTGTATATAGTATTTTATTCTATTCTGTACAGTTGTGTACAGTATCTTATTCTCATTGTATTCTAATTTTTGCTATACAACTTTTGCACTGTCCACTTCCTGCTGTGACAAAACAAATTTCCCACGTGTGGGACTAATGAAGGTTATCTTATCTTATCTTATTACAAACTCCATTTGGATTAGGATAAAAGAAAATTCCCTCTTGCTTCTGCCTCCAGGCTTTAGCATTCTCGCATTCCCCCTGCAGCCTCCATTTCCCCATAACCAACAGCACACCGAGCATCTGTTCTGCTGAAGCCGCCTTATAATATTTTTGCTATTTGATGTTTACTGTCTTGTTAAATACAGAGACAGCCAGGAGTTCCTAAAGGTGCGTTTTTTGGTTTTTATGTTATGTGACGTCGTTATTTTAAGTCAGTGTTGACAGAAAAAACCCCACTGTTACAGTTTGTCTGGATCCATGGTTGTCTTGAGTCAACCATGTCCACTCCAGTCCGCTAGGTGGCAGCGCTGCATTGACACTGTCACAACTCCCGGCAGCACAAACGCGTCAACTGTCCGGAAATAAAAACTACTTGCGGAAAAGGGAACATGGAAGCGGCAGTGTTCATTTTGTCTCTTGTGGATTGTTGTGCGCTGATTTTCCTCTCCGTTTACTTCGTATCCTTTTCGATTCAGTGAGTCGGGCGACGGTACTCGTCTGCGTCAAAGCGGTTTTCTGTCCGAGAGCTTTGCTGAAGTCTTCTCCGTATAAAAAAGCTAATTTAATAGCAGCCAGCTAGCTTGTTAGCCGCCTTGTTATGAGCGTTGTAGTCGGGCTTGTGTGACGGAATAAGTGTATGAAAGTTTGTAGAGTGTTTTGAGTTAGCAGTCAGGAAGAGCCGCTATCTGCAAATATCTCTGTACTGATAGTTTCATTTCACACTGTCGGCTTTTATATTTCAGTCCCACGCAGCGCTGGGTGACCCACGCAGCGCTGCGGTGCGTGGGTCCACTGTTGCTGGACCGATTGGCGATGAAAAATGAGGCCAGTCCAGCACATCCTTAATATGTATGTATATATTTTAAAGGATAATCGAAGGAGCCACAGTCGAGGTCCTGAATGCAACATCCTTTTCACAGCACATTGTACCTTAACTTGAAATATAGATTATAACCTTGTCTGACCTAGAATGTGACTACATCAATGCTAGAGCCTGCTGTTCCAAGCTGAACAAAGTAAGTTGTCTTATTGATTTCATAGATATGGTTGATGATGCAGTTGATCTTTTACCCCCGTCGTTTATGAAATAATCATGGCTTCTTTTCTTTTTGTAACCGACTGTAAAGATCATTTTCACACTCAGATTTCTAATCTGTAATTCAAATGTTTGTTTGATGTTTAGTGGGTAATTCCAGAGATGGTTGCCCAGTGTCTTTCCACCATGCTCATGTTGGTCTCGATGCACTGGTTCATCCTCCTCCTCAACCTGCCTGTAGCAGCCTGGAACATTTACAGGTATGCCCATCCAGTCTCAGCATCAGTTAGGTCCACCACGGCTACACGTGCACGTCGGGATCCTTTCTCTTTTGTAGTTGTTCCTTTTATGTCACGTGGTTGGAAAAATAATTAAAGCAGCAATGATCGGGCCCTCACCCAAGAGGCTTCTTGGGTTCTAAAGCCAAAAGGTAAAAATCCCAATATTTAAAGTGGACCTGAAACACTACATGTATACAGGCTAACATGAATAACTGTCTGTGTCGCTGGATTTAAGAAACAAGTGCTTTAAAACATGTTTAGTGCCATCTAGTGTCGGTACAGAACATGATGTCACCAGGTTGGTTGGTGCTAATGCTGCTTACATTCATTTGTTAGCAGACTAGTGACCAAAACTCAAAATGAGTCTGTGGGCATCACTGTTGTATTGTCCCTTGGTACAGCAGTGTGCACTGCTGCACTGAAACAGGAAGTGTTAGCTGTAATGTTCGGTTCTGTAAAGCACTTTATAAATGAGACCTGTGTGGAGGAGAGCCTGTTTGAGTCACCAGACCAACCAGCTGGACTGTGGCGCTGGTATGTTCCTCGCCAGGCTGGATGCACCAAGCCGTACGATCTCCAGGCAAAGCAATGCAGTAGTTGTCATTTCATACAGTCTCTCTCAAGCACACCAGACAGTTCAGAACGTGTCTCTTCCTCGCAGTCACCATTTTATTTCTTTTTTCCGATTGCACGCATCGACCTATTTTTCCCAATTGTGCTTCAACAAGATACATAGTTGTTTGTGGTGTGCACGTAGGAACCTGTTTTACTGTTTTGCTTGGGAGACGATTGAAATAGAGCTGATCACATGGGCTGACTGCACCGCTCGCTGCATCCAGCCACATGAGGAAAATCAGACTCAAACAGGCTCCTCTACACACCTCTCATTTAAGCCCACTGTATAAAACCCAACATTACAGCTAACAGCTGGATGTTCCTGTTTCCTGAAGCACTTACTGCTGAAGACGGAGTGAAAGTGGACAGTACGTCCTTATATTTGTTAACACGAAACTCCTCGTTATTGGTTCTGTCACTAGTTGGCTAATAAACTAATGCAAGTCCATTAGCAGCAACTAACCAATCAGATGATGTCATGTTCTGTACTGGCACAAAACATGTAAAACTTTAGGCACTTATTTCTTAAAGGAGTCGAGCTTTCCAAGCTTAAGACTAGCATGACCCGAGAACCTACACAGACCTGACAAAAGTCAGAGCTCGTTCCTACAAGAAGTCCTGCCATTAATTAATTCTTCGATCTTAAATATGATCAACCTATCTCTAATGATCGGCTATGTACCACAGGCCTTCAAGCTGGCTGTAGTTAAACCTTTACTCAAAAAGCATCTCTAGACCCAGCAGTCTTAGCTAATTATAGGCCAATCTCCAACCTTCCTTTATATCAAACATCCTTGAAAGAGTAGTTGTCAAACAGCTAACAGATCATCTGCAGAGGTTTATTTGAAGAGTTTCAGTCAGGTTTCAGAGCTCAGCACAGAAACAGCTTTAGTGAAGGTTACAAATGATCTTCTTATGGCCTCTGACAGTGGACTCATCTCTGTGCTTGTCCTGCTAGACCTCAGTGCAGCGTTCGATACTGTCGACCATAATATCCTATTAGAGCGATTAGAACATGCAGTAGGTATTACAGGTACTGCGCTGCAGTATACAATGTGTTGAATCTTATCTTAATGACCATTAGAGCACTTTGCTCTCAGACTCTCGTGGACTTTCTTCGCACATCTAGAAAGCTGAGGAACTGCAGTTGGTTACCAAAATAAAGGTTTGGATGTACTGTGCCGTTATTCAGACCTTTACACAAAGAGCGACAAATGAATCGTTTCATCAGGCGAGTGGCAGAAGCTCTTCCTTCTCATGTTCTATCAAAGAGCAGGGTTATACTGTGTCGGGACCAGCAGACACCTTACAGTACTAACCAGCGACTAAACCTTCGGTCACAGACGATCAGCTGGAACAGTCTTACTGGTGCTGAGTCTGCCGGGTGTGTCATCTTGATCCGTTTCACCCTGCAGGTACTTGAAGGTTCCAATGGGGAACATGGGAGTGTTTGACCCAACGGAGATCCACAACCGAGGTCTGCTCAAGTCTCACATGAAGGAGGCCATGATCAAACTGGGTTACCACCTGCTCTGCTTCTTCATCTATTTGTACAGGTGACACACGCACGCTTTGCTAACACGTGCAGGGCTGTCTTCGCTGTTTGCACTCACATATCCGACTTGTGTTTTCCAGCATGATCCTGGCTTTGATCAACGACTGAGCCCGGAGCAGGCCACGGACTTCAGCTGCCAAATTCCAGACTGCAGGCTTTGCTGCGTCCCCCTCACATCCTGTGCTCCTGTACTGTATGCATTTAATGTCTCAGAACAACTATTACATTTTTTGTATTGAATTCCAGAGTTTGACTTTGCCACATGAATATGGTTAATATTTAACCTTTCAAAGATCCACCTTCATAGCCTCCAACAGAAAGCTCGTCTGCACTGTGAAAAACAATCATTTATTTTTGAACCTCTGTTTAACACAAAGTCATTACAACCTCAACAGCTGATAGACGTTTGCAGTATGTTTCTTTACCAATAACGATGAGCCCAATCCCTCCCAGTAATGAACTGCTTTCAGCCTCATCATGAGTGCTCATTATTCTGGTGCTTTACACAAAGTATTGCAGGTTGCTGTAAGGACTTTGGGTCGACAGCTTGTACAGAGTGGAGGAAAGCTGAGTTAAATCAAGCTAACAGCGCGGGCCCTGCAGGACCCGTCTTGCTGTAGCAGCCTAAGTTATGGATCCTTCCAGTGCGCTCGGACATTCTTCTTCTCACCTCGCTGGTCGCTCTTGTGCACCAGTGTGATGCGACCCATGTAATAACTATAACACTTCAGTTCATCCTGTAAATTGTGCTGTTTGTGCCACACGTAATGACTTTTCCCAGCTGGTGATTCAATCAGGTTCACAGTTAATGTGGTCCTTTATGGTGTGTGCATGCTGTGCTTCGTGTCAGGGTTTAACCGCCTCCAACAACTAAGATGTTTCTACGATGCTGCTGCAGTCGATGCTCAGCAGCGTCATACGTGCACTGAATTAAGAGGCAGTCGGGATTCTGATTCTTCGGGGAAATGTTTGAAAGTTCTTGTTGTGTCAACATAATCCTTTTTTTAAAAGTAAACCTTGAACTACTTCTGTCAAATCAATCCAATAAATATCCCAAACTCTCAGAGTCAGAGGTTTGAAACTGGCTCGTCGGTCTGTTTTTGTCAGTATTTGGTAACTCGGAGTTTCTTATTGTCTGCACCAATAGAGATCGATGAAAGTGGCCCACTCCATGTGACTGACGTTGTGTATTTTATTGTGTAGTTTGCATATGTGCGCGCACCTGCTGCTTGGTTTGTGACCCTGCTGCTCTTTGATTTCAACACTATCCAACAGATTTACTGACAGTTTTCCAACGTTGACCTCGGGTGTCTGATTGCACTGAGGTGTAGTTGAGGTTGGATAACCAATCCAGTTCTGAGACTTATTCTGCATACAGGACCCCACACACACACACACACACACACACACACACACACACACACACACACACACACACACACACACACACACACACACACACTCTCTGTTCCTTACAAAGCCAGCATGGTCACCTGTTGCAGTCGTGTGCTGTACCAAGTACAGGAACCTGAATAAATATTTTCGTTCCATTGCACTTCCTGGCATTCCTGTGATGAATAGGTCTCTGTACGTGTGTTTAAAAAGAATCATTTTGAGTAGAAAGCTGAAATGTGCAGATTTCTCATCACCACAGTGAGAAACTAAAGCTGACTCAGCTGCAGAAACTGGCCGTTTGTCTCCAAACAACTTCAGTCTGCACATTTCAGCAGATTTTCAACTTAACTTTGAAATTTCAACTTTATTCTCAACATGATCAATGACATATTTTCTTAATGTAACCTTAGTACTCTACTGTTGTACACCAGCTTTTTAAATGCATTTCATCAGGAGGTGAAAGGAAGAACTTATTCTGTTTGCACAGAGGTTTTGAAGAAGTATTTTTGTATGCCTTCTCTCTGCTGGACATCCAATCCAATCATTATTTGGTTATATTTTAGATTTTTATAGTTTTGATTAAAAGTTTAAGATTGTTTACTAGTAAACAATCGACTGCCTCTCTCAGATGTAATGAGAGGCAAATGTAATCTCTTTCAGTACGACAACAGCAAGGAGAAACTTGTGCATATAAATTTGACCAGGGGTGTCCAACTCCAGGCCTCGAGGGCCGGTGTCCTGCAGGTTTTGGATCTCACCCTGGGTCAACACACCCGAATCACATGATGAGCTCATTCCCAGGCCTCTGGAGAACTTCAGGACATGTTGAGGAGGTCATTCAGCCATTTGAATCAGCTGTGATGGATCAAGGACACGTCTAAAACCTGCAGGACACCGGCCCTCGAGGCCTGGAGTTGGACACCCCTGAACTAGAGTGTTCATCAAGATCTAACAAATAAAAGGATGACTGTGTCAAGAACCTCATAAGATTATATGGCTGGGGCTCACCTCAGATTAATCTGTGTAGCCAAATAATTATAATATAAAACTATGAAATCACATATTTTTCATTTTTGGTATTTTATTGTTTACTGAAAAAACCACAGCCTGCACAGTTTGGTGTGGAAGAAGTGACGAAAAGCTAAGAGAGAAAAACAAAGATCGATATAGCAAAGTGTACCAAATGAACCAACATGTTAGCTGCTGCTGCTGCTAATAACAGGACAAGCAAGATCTCATAAGGAGCCCACAGCCACAGGAGGCTGCTGTTGTAGCTGCAGCTGTGAAGTGCCGGCAGAAGGACAGCAGTCCCAACAACAGAGTAAGGACGAGGTGGAGGTAAGTGAAATTAAGGTAAGGAAACAGGTGGAGAGATATAATAAGGAAGAGTGGTTGATAACGGTTCAGATGGGATTTCCAGATACAGACGAATGGTGATGGCTAACCGGACACAGCGGTGGTGGACAAGCAGAAGAAGAGAGCTGTAGTGATGATGGCCGCATCAGGAAGAACGAGAACATGTGGAGGGTGAAGGTAACGGTGGTCCCCGAGGTAATCGGAGCACTCAGAGCGGTGTCCCCGAACCTGGGCGAGTGGCTCCAGCAGATCCCGGGAACAACAGCGGAGATCTCTGTCCAGAAGAGCGCCGTCCTGGGAACAGCTAAGATGCTGCAGGACCCTCAAGCTCCCAGGCCTCTGGTAGAGGACCGAGCTTGAAGGATATAGATGAAGGACGTTGCATCACTCCAAATATACATAAAATGTACACAATTTTTCCGACAGTCAGCAAATACATGTAGATTTCTCAGGACTGATTTTCTCCTTAAAGAGTTGTAAATCAGCGGAGTGATTATTTCCTGCACATGAACAGCACTTATTATTATTAGTAGCAGCAGAATGCTGAAGCAGTGTTCACACTATTAAGATTTAAACCTTTATTAATACAAATGCTTTACAATCATTCAAAAATGATCTAAATCTTTATTATTGTTTATATATTATTATAGCCTTTCGCAGCCCTGTGAGTAATCTCGGGGATTTCTTCGGTGTGATGACCAGTGTCGGGCAGTGCGAATGTGTAAGATAGTGGCTGCACATGGACGGTACTTCAGATTATGTCAGGGTTCATGTTTTTGTCTTTTTGAGATTATGGTTTGAACAATTTTCTAAGCTTTAGTTTATCTCCCTGCTTTTGGTTCCGATGGTCGTGCTCTTGTTTTGTTGTCGTGGTCCTGGGTCATCCACCCAGTGTCTGTGTCCTCGTGTTTAGTATTATTCGTGGTTCTGTGCAGTGTCTGCTGTCATGTCTCTCGTGCATGTTAATTCTGCCTCCTGCTGTGTCACTCCCCCTGTTCTCTGTGTGTGTCGACTGTTTCCTGTTTTATTGTGGTAGTCCTTCGTCCTGTGTTCAGTATATTTAGTTTTGCTTCCTGCCTGTCTCGTCAGGTCTGATCAGTCCCAGCTGTGTCCCCTTTGTTATCATGTATTCAAGTCTTCAATCTCAACACGTTCATTGTCGTTTCCACGTTAGCAGTTGGTTCCTGTCATGTATCCCGAGTTCAAGACTTATTTCGAGTTAACCTTTTGTTTCTTTCTTCATGTACTTTGTTTTTAGTTAATTAAAATGAAGCTTCTGCTTCGAGTCTCTGAGTCCTGCAGTTGGGTCCTACCCCTGCCTGCCACACAGCTCATGACAGTTTAACTGCTATCAGTCAAACAGATTCAGGAGCTGCTCCCGACAAACCAGGAAGTGAACGCGGTCGTCTTTAAATATGCATTTCTGTGGTTGCTGGTAACACACACAATGTTGTATGGGGTCACTTAAACTTGTCTTTCTTTCAGGTATTTCTCAGGAAATAAGACAAATTGTACTGTAAGTACTTTTAAGTACGGCGTAAGTAATTTTGTGCATAATGGATGTTCTACTACTCAACCTTATTTTTATATAAATATCAAATGTATATAAAATAAATATAAAAATGATACAGTAACATTTCTGGTCACTCAGAACGGTTCTTGGAAGGTTGCAGTGCCTATTCCCCTCGTCACCTTTTACGTCATATATATGTGATGTACACTGATGTATTCATATATATGATGTAAAAGGTGACGACCTTTAGTGAACATTCAGCTCTGCACCAGTTGGTTTACACGTGACCACAATGAGGTTTTTCAACACTGGTTGCACGTGGAGCGGATTCCAGGGAAAAGAGGCTTAAAATGACTGATCAGGTAAACGACTGCTGTTGTCTCACTACAGGAGACGCACATGTCTGAAGCGTGCACACGCCACAGCTCCTTCACACATTCTCAGCCTGTTGCAACTCAAAACAAAGAGGCGTGGCCATTTTAAACAGAAAAACAAGCTTCACTGTGCCCAACACTATTACAGACTGAGAATCGCTACATTATGGATCTGTGTTTATGATCTTCACAGCAGGCAGAGGGTATCCAGTCCACTCGCTTTTGTTATTTTTATCGAGCCACCAGCAGCAGTCTGAAAATACAGACCATAATAAGCCCGTATGCTGATGATGCATCACTGTTTCACAGGAACTCACAAACCTCGCTCCTAAAGATCACACTTAAAGATAAGTTTCAAAACCGCCACTACAGTCAGCTGACATTAAATATGTAGGTATAAATCTTTCTGCCACTCCCTGGTGTGGAGTCACGTTCATTTAACACTGTAGAGCATAGGCGTCAAACTCTGGCCCGCGGGCCAAATTTGGCCGGCAGCCTAATTACATGTGGCCCATGAAGCCACACCAAATTACTATCAGAGCTGGCCTACTGGTATTATACAGCTAAGATATATATTGTTTAGTATTAAGCTTTGCTTGTTCCATATTCAGTTTTCCAGCAAAACGTGTTCGAGTCCATAAGAAAAGATTCATTCTTATATCTGGAGGAATAAATATATTTCAGTGAATATTAACGTTAGTCGGCGACTTTGTTCCAGTTTTGAATTTTGGCCCACTGTGTGTTTGAGTTTGACACCCCTGCTGTAGAGGATGAGCTCACACGTGTTTGCCGCCTCCCTGATCTCCTATTTTTCTGTATGTTTGTCACACTTAAACGTTTCGAATCATCGAACAAATGTAAATATTGGACAAAGATAATACAAGTGAACGCAAAATGCAGTTTTTGAATTAAGGTGTTTATTATTAATGGGAACAAAAATCCAAGCCAAGAATAGCTTAAACAAATTGAAATGAAGACTTTGGAGTGGCCTGATCCAAAGGTGCTGTGGCGTGACCTTCAAAGAGGCGGTTCATGCTTTAAAACCCTCCATTGTGGCTAAATTACAACAATTCTCCAAAGTAGGCCCAAAGTCCTCCACAGCGCTTTAAAGACTCATTGGAGTGATCACAAACGCTGGATTGCAGTTGTTGCTGCTGAGGGCGCCCAAGCAGTAAGTAGGTTTAAGGAGCAGTCACTTTTCACGTAGGACATGTAGGTTTGCACCTTATTTGGTGTTTACTCTTGTTATCTTTGTCTAATATAAAAAATGTTTTCTTGAAACATTTTAGTGTGACAAACATAAAAAATAAGCAACAGGAAATCAGGACAGGTGAAAACTTTTTCACACTACTGCATGTCACTCATGGGATATATGTCATTAGAAGGATGAGTCTGCCTAAATTAATTACTTGTTTTCCCCAGTAAACTTCTAAACCAATCGAGTGCTATATTTCAAAATGGATGAAATCCAGATTATTAGCCAGCCGGTGGCTGAACTAAAAGAAGAAATCTGTGGAAGTCTCCCACAGGCCCGTGGGGCGGGGCGTCGAGGTGAGGGAACAACCCAGACCTGTTTGTCTTGTCCCTGTACTGGCTGTCTGCTGTTGTGACACAGTGTGCAGATGAGACTTGTGACTCTAGTCTAGTCTCTGTGCTGCTCTGGACTCCGTGGTGCTCCAGAGTGATGGTGTGGTGCCTGCTGAGCTAGTTGCTTCCTGGCTCTCTTTCCAGGGTTAGTTCTCTACCTCCCTCATATAACATATCACGCATGCAGAGTCTTGATGGAGAGGTGCGGTGGCGTAGGTCACTGTGGGCAGGGCTATTATATTTGCCTTGTTGGCATATCACCTGGTGGGCGGGGCTTCTGCAGTGGCCCCTTTTATCCCTTCGCTGCTATCTGACCTTCAATTTTATCAGCAACAACAACAGTCACAGCAGATGGCCCCGCCCCTCCCTGAGCCTGGTTCTGCTGGAGGTTTCTTCCTGTTAAAAGGGAGTTTTTCCTTCCCACTGTCACCAAAGTGCTGCTCATAGAGGGTCATACGATTGTTGGATTTTTCTCTGTATCTGTTATAGTAGGGTCGACCTTACAATATAAAGCGCCTTGAGGTGACTGTTGTTGTGATCTGGCGCTGTGTAAATAAAATGAATTAAACTTAGAGGTCAAAGGTCCTTTGACGAGTGTATGGCTGCGGGCAGCAAGGATCTTTAAAAAATAAAAATATATTCGCCACTGAAAAGAGTTTTAAGAAGTGACTTAAAAATGCTCATTGAAGATGTTTGTCTCTGTCTCCTCCGAGCTGTGTCCTCAGCACGTCAGCTGTTCGGAGCGGCTGGGAGTGTAAATGTAGGAGCTCGGAGACGATTTGAAGACTGAAAAACAGAGAATAATAAAATGAAGGGACCCAGTGCAGTGAGGCTAAAACAGAAGATGTAAAACGGGCTAACAAAAAGTATTTTCTCAGGTAGGTGGGACCGCTGTGCCATGAATGCCTGCACAGTGCCAAACCACATATAAGGATATTGTGCTCCACTGTACTGAAGGCAAAACTAATAAAACTGTAATCAAAATAAATGGATTCATAGTGTACTTTTTTCCCTTCTACTTTCAACTGCTCCCTTTAGGAGCCACCTTCATCCCACCCACCTGCATCCTCTTGTCCTTCAGTACATCTGTGAACTTCCTCTGTGGTCTGGCTCTTTTGCTCCTGCCTGGTAGCTAAGGATGCACGTTTTCTGCTCTTTCATTTGAGGTATTTTTAAGTCACTCCACATGTGGCCCATACCCCAGAAAGCACAGGGTACGTACGATGTAAGAAGTGCAAATATTGTTTGTTTGAAAATTGTGCAGTACTTGAAATCACTGACAGCAGAGTTTGTCTCTTTTCCTGACCTGAGCTGGTCACACCATGTTGGTATGATCACAAAAGCAACAAGACAGCAGCTCTTCTTTCTGCGGCGCCTGAGAAGATTCGGCATGAACCCCAGAATACTTACCAACTTCTACAGATGCACCACTGCAAGTATTCTGACTGGCTGGTACGGCGGCTGTAACGCTGCAAAGCTCTGCAGAGGGTGGTGAGATCAGCACAGCGCATCACCGGGACTGAATTGTCAACCATGCAGTTTCTCTGCAGACAGCGCTGCTGTTCGATCCCAGCCACAGACTCTTCACACTCCTGCTGTGGCGGTTCAGGAGCATCCAGACACAGAGACAGTTTCTACCCACAAACCATCAGGAACAGCTGACATTCTGCACCTTTACAGGTAAAAGACAATAACACTTGAAACTTCATCGATCGCTCGTTTCCTAATTACAAACTCTGTGAACAACGATGCGAAGGAGGCTGCACGTAAAACCTTTTTTTAAAACCCCGAATGCTTTATTTAAAATCTGGACACATAATTCTAGAACTAGACTGAATAGTACAATCACTTTTTGCAATAACACATTAAAACTGAATTCCAGGCAAAAACTGCCTGCAAGCAAACACAGTTACTACTTTGGCTTCTTGACTGAAGAAGAGAAGCCTGAAATGATCACAGAAGCAGAAACTCAAACACCACGTGTGGGCTGTGGGAGAGATGCTGTTGTGCACTGTGTGTGTCTGTGTGTGTCTGTGTGTGTCTGTGTGTGCGATGGAGGAGCGAAGCTGCTGATGGCTACAGTTATGTCCGGGGAGACCACAGGGTTCCCACCGTCTTCCAGCTGTTGCTCACAACTGGAAAGAATCTGAATAGACTTACAGAGAGTATAAAAGCTGTTTGGATAAAAACTGATCTGCATTATTCAAATTTCAGTTGTTTGTTCATTTCAGCCAGAAGCACCGAGTGTGACGCTCTAAACGAGTCGTGTTAGCAAACAGAAACCAGACGTGGGAACCCCGAAACACAAATATCAGAATAACACAACTGTGTACCACACATGGAGGAAGGCTGCTCTTTGACCCAAGACAGGAAACATGTGGAAACTCAGATTAAGTCACACGCTCTGTCATTTTGTTCGCTTCCTACTGATGTGTCGAACATTAAGGATAATGTTTTCGTTTTTATCTTAAGAAAATGTAATTTACAAAATGACGTGGATCCCAAATCTTTTTGGAGTAATAAAGATTTCTTTAAGCTGCAGAGATGCCGCGGCTTCACGTGAGATTCCAGAGTAGACGATGAACTGAATTAATAACAAAGAGATGTTCTGTTTTTATGTGTCTGTCTTTACTGGTCGCACTGAGTAATCCCACTAACACTGGAGGGAGGAGGTGACCCTCGAGCTGCTTCGAATCAAACCGACGTCATTGTCACAGGAGCCTTTACGTAGATGTGCACAGCTACAAACTTCAAAAACCCTCTGAGTCATCAGTCCACCGTGATAAATGGACTGACTCTTATACAGTGCTTTATACACATTCACCATACTTCAAGTGCTTTCTATCTAAATGCATCAGAGGAGAGAAGCCTGGCTTTAGTATCGCGCCCAAGGATGTTTGGCTTGCAGACTGGGGGAGCCAGGGTTCGAACCATCGAGCCGGCTCTACCTCCTGACCTACAGCCACTCGTAAATGAAGGAAGTCAGGAAAGTTGTTTTCTACTACAAACATTCTCTCAATGGACCAAAACAAACTGAGATGCACAACCCAGATCTCAACCACAGTGCTGCTTCACTAGCAGTTCAAGGAAACGAGCCTGCGGGTGGTCACGGCAATCAGTGTGTTCAAAAACGACGTGCCAGCAGTTTTAGTTTAGTCAGCCTGGGTTTGTTAGACGATTGTGTTATTATTGACACACTGTTCATGGAGAGGTTCACTGACAGCCTCATGTAAACACATCTGTCAGAAATCAGACTGTCTCTATGCTACACCTCCACTCAGAACCAACAGCACCGATAAAGATGACAAACGATGAAACAGATAGCAGACACACACAGACACACAACATGACTGTTGTTTGTACAGAGGAAGGAAACAGGCTGAAACACAATCAAAGAGCAAAGAGTGAAAACATGAATTAAAGGAAACTCCACACTTGAACAGAGGAAACAACATCCCATAATCCACGTATGATGACACAGCTGTACACATCAGCTGCTGTACGCCCTCACAAACAGCAAAGCACTTGACACACTTGAACACTGCGAGTGTAAAACACGAGTTATGCAGATTCCTATGCAACATGCTCCTGGGACACGATTCTGTCTCTGGGTTTAAGCAGGAAAGCACAACGGAGCCAAGCCATGAAACTCCACATTTAAAAGTAAGGAACAAAACCAAAAACAGACTATAGCAGTTAAAAGATTCTCTTCGAGTGGGTCTCACTTCCACCAACCATCGCTGCAGCTAGTCTCAGAAAAGGTTCAGCGACGGGTCAGAGTTTCTTCATGTGAGAAGCTCAGAGACGAAGCCTCCACCGGGCGCCTAGCACTACTCCGTGAACTACTCAGGAATAAATAATGGACTTTATAATAAAGCAGGAGGCTGGTGGTCCTGTGTGGTTCTAGGGAACGGGTCCACATTGGAGGAGAAGGTGGGTCAGATGTCCTGGAGCCCGGCCTCGAGTTCGACAGCTCGTGTTGTGACGTCCAGGCGCGCCCCACTACAGGCCACGCCTTCAAGATGCAGCTGTCCAATTAAAAAACATCCCCACTTTATGCATTCAAGTGTCTACAGAGTCTCAATGCTTTCAGGGTGTTAGCGGCAGATCATCAGCTGTCCATGCTGCAACACTCTGCAGGATAAGAAACACACGTTACTCATCATCATCATCATCATCATCGTCGTCAGTGATTACAGGCTGCTGGGCGTCACTTTGACCAAGCAAACACTTGACCAACAGCTCCTCACAGCGCCTGAGAATGTTAGTAACTGGTCATGTATGTGAGCTAGATAAAGGGCTAAACTGGTACAGATTAAAGTCCTGTACAAGTGCTTTCATTAGGCAATAAGACTAGAAACACATATTAATGTAATTATATTACATTATGTTCTGAGTATTAACCCATATTAGTCTAATAGGCTCTGGCCTTTCTGAGTACCATCGCACAGGCCTTTAAACCAACCCAGATTAGCAAGAGCCACGATCGAGAGGGCAGCTGGTAACAGGTGACTGATAAGATCCGACCTGCAAGGTCACTCAGGTATCAGCGCGAGCAGGAAGACACCTGGGCGAGTGCCCTCACCCAGATCGGCTCACTCCAGAACCACCTGCATCATCTACAGTGGGGCAAAAAAGTATTTAGTCAGCCACCGATTGTGCAAGTTCCCCCACTTAAAATGATGACAGAGGTCAGTAATTTGCACCAGAGGTACACTTCAACTGTGAGAGACAGAATGTGAAAAAAAAATCCATGAATCCACATGGTAGGATTTGTAAAGAATTTATTCGTAAATCAGGGTGGAAAATAAGTATTTGGTCACCTCAAACAAGGAAAATCTCTGGCTCTCACAGACCTGTAAGTCTTCTGTAAGAAGCTTTTCTGTCCCCCACTCGTTACCTGTATGAATGGCACCTGTTTGAACTCATCATCTGTATAAAAGACACCTGTCCACAGCCTCAAACAGTCAGACTCCAAACTCCGCCATGGCCAAGACCAAAGAGCTTTCGAAGGACACCAGGAAAAGTATTGTAGACCTGCACCAGACTGGGAAGAGTGAATCTACAATAGGCAAGCAGCTTGGTGTGAAAAAATCAACTGTGGGAGCAATCATCAGAAAATGGAAGACATACAAGACCACTGATAATCTCCCTCGATCTGGGGCTCCACGCAAGATCTCATCCCGTGGGGTCAAAATGATCATGAGAACGGTGAGCAAAGATCCCAGAACCACACGGGGGGACCTGGTGAATGACCTGCAGAGAGCTGGGACCAAAGTAACAAAGGTCACCATCAGTAACACACTACAACGGCAGGGAATCAAATCCCGCAGTGCCAGACGTGTTCCGCTGCTGAAGCCAGTGCATGTCCAGGCCCGTCTGAAGTTTGCCAGAGAGCACATGGATGATACAGCAGAGGATTGGGAGAATGTCATGTGGTCAGATGAAACCAAAGTAGAACTTTTTGGTATAAACTCAACTCGTCGTGTTTGGAGGAAGAAGAATACTGAGTTGCATCCCAAGAACACCATACCTACTGTGAAGCATGGGGGTGGAAACATCATGCTATGGGGCTGTTTTTCTGCCAAGGGGACAGGACGACTGATCCGTGTTAAGGACAGAATGAATGGGGCCATGTATCGTGAGATTTTGAGCCAAAACCTCCTTCCATCAGTGAGAACTTTGAAGATGAAACGAGGCTGGGTCTTCCAACATGACAATGATCCAAAACACACCGCCCGGGCAACAAAGGAGTGGCTCCGTAAGAAGCATTTGAAAGTCCTGGAGTGGCCTAGCCAGTCTCCAGACCTCAACCCCATAGAAAATCTGTGGCGGGAGTTGAAAGTCCGTGTTGCTCGGCGACAGCCCCAAAACATCACTGCTCTCGAGAAGATCTGCATGGAGGAATGGGCCAAAATACCAGCTACTGTGTGTGCAAACCTGGTAAAGACCTATAGTAAACGTTTGACCTCTGTTATTGCCAACAAAGGTTATGTTACAAAGTATTGAGTTGTATTTTTGTTATTGACCAAATACTTATTTTCCACCCTGATTTACCAATAAATTCTTTACAAATCCTACCATGTGGATTCATGGATTTTTTTTTCACATTCTGTCTCTCACAGTTGAAGTGTACCTCTGGTGCAAATTACTGACCTCTGTCATCATTTTAGGTGGGGGAACTTGCACAATCGGTGGCTGACTAAATACTTTTTTGCCCCACTGTACTTTGCTGACTCTGAGCTGCTGTATGGAGCACAGCTCACTGCCTCACTAATGATAAATAAAGCCAGAGTTTCCACACCAAGATGCAGTTCCTGTAAGCCCCATGTTCTCCTTGAGAGAGGAGAAAGAAATCTTTGTTCAAAATTCTTATTTAAATATTTTGATTTTTTTTTTTTGCTTTAATCTCAAATGTGACAAATGTACCTGACCACAGACATTAAAGAATACAAATGAATAAAAGTACAACACTGATGCTCAAACTTGGCCTTTGACTGGAACAGATCTGATCTGACTTTCAGCTGTGGGCCAATCACTGATTTTCCACAGAAGGACAGTTTATCAACTTTATTTTACCAGAATTCAATTTCTTTCTTTTCTGGTGGAGACTGAACTTTACCTTTAGCCTTTCAAAATCGTTTCACTTTCATACCATTCAGTCCCTCTGCATCCTGGACATCCAGGAAGGGCGCAGGTCCCCAGATTCGGATGGTTCCATCGTCTGAGGCGCTGGCCAGCAGACCGGGCACCACGGGGTTCCAGCTCACACAGTTGACTGTGCGTGTGTGACCGGTCAGCTCTGCGATGGGCAGCTCACTGCGCCGGTGCCAGATGTAAACTTTGTGGTCTGACAAGAGAGAGACGAGCTCGTCAGCAGCTTGTTGGATCACACTAACGACCAGCACAAAACCTCCTTTTAGCATCAAGAACAACGTTTGGATTCAATATTTGTATGAATGTCTCTTTACAGAGCAACATTTGTGGAGGACACTTTTTGCTTTCTTCTTCCTTAGAACTAAACATGCTTTGGTCTTACCTTCACTACCACTGGCAATGAAGTCTTCATTGTGCCCCCCGAAGCAGGAATGGATGGTGTAAAAACCCTGGGTGACACCTTGGTACTTCCTCACCAGCACCCGGTCCTGCAGGTCCCAAAGGTGCACTCCCTGCAAATAAGAGGCACATTTCAACAATCAAGACAAAGCTGATGTGAAGCAGCTGATGAAAGAAACAAAATGTCAGGAAGTAATCAGGAGCTCACCTGAGTAGCAACATTGAGCAGAGCTAACCTTCCATTTTTGGAAACAGTGAAAGACATAATGGGATGGTCCTCCTGCACTCTGGAAGGACAACATACACAAACATGTTTATTTTAGAAATGAGGCTTCTGACTGCTCCTCCCTAATTCACTGATCACCACAGGAGACGGCTCAGCATGTGGCAGCGTTTTTACGGCCCATCCTGATGCTAATTTGTGACACCTTCCAGTCTTCAACCAGAAGTTAATAAGTCCAACTTTCACATGTTAGGTGAACATGTTCAATACTGATGACCACAAATTTTATTACAGAGATAATGATTTAAAGGTGCTACACTACAGTGGTTGGAAATGTCCAGTTTGTGCATGTAAATGGAGAGTCCTCTTCACACACTGAGGTTAATTATGGAGTTCCACAGGGTTCAGTGCTAGGACCAATTCTGTTTACA